CCATCGGTTTCTCTGAAGGAGAAGGATGAGGCTGTCTGCTTCTGCAGTTAGTTTCAGAAACCCACAGGAACAGTTCTACTCTGCTCTATAGGGTCACTATGAGTGTGGTAGTTACGTAATTTGAGAGTTGAGTGAAGGGGTGGTGCTTAGCTGTCAATCAGGTTGCAGCTTGATGGCCTCATATGCAGCTGCTAAGGAGATAAATAGCTCACTGGACGCGGGACACTCACTCACTCCCTGGGAAATATTCCTGTGGAGAAGACACATGGAACTACGCTAGAGCCCTGGAGCTGAAGGAGCCACATGGAGACCCCTGCCAAAGCTGAGATGCTTCCACTGCCACTGGATCCACAAGACTTCCCACCCACTGGCCTGTGATCTTCCTGCATTTGGTGTCATTGCATGTGTCTCCTGAGTCTGAAGTGGAATTTATATATTGGCATCAGGCATATGGGCTACTATTGGACTTATGGACTTGATCTGGACTGGGCTGTTTTCTCAGTATCCAATGGTTCTTGTATATAAATCTCTTTCTTATACACAAGTGTCTCTGCATTTGTTTCTTTAGTCAACCCAGACTGACACAATGAGTCACAACTAACTCGATGGCAATGGGTTTAGGTGGCAGGTTAGCCCTTTGGGGGAATTACATTTAAAATGTTTCCTAGTCTGCATAACAATCTACGTTAAATGTTGTCTCCAGAATGTTCTTTACCTATTTAATGTCTTTTTGCTCCAAATTGGCACTTCTATATTCTGCTCTCTGCAAATGTTATTTTCCCAAATCCAGCAAACTTCTTGTTAGGGTTCACCAGTTAGACAATAGAATGGAGAAGGAAAAAACTCCCTTCCTGTTTCTTACTGGTGGAAGTTCTCTGTGGTTACAGATTCTTTCATCCCTTCCAGGACCAGCTTTATCATACCCCCTCAGAGGGACTAACACTAGTCAGGCAAATTCCTCCCCTAAGCCCCAGCACCATGGAGTGTTTCTCTGAGTTCCCGATGACCCAGGAACTGGCAGCTGGGTAGCAGTCCCTCCTCAGATACCAGCTTGAATTCTCTGGTCTTCTTCTCTGGACTCACAAGTTTTTGTTATCTCGATCTTTAACCTTTGTTCCCCTAACCCAATGAGTATTAGAGCAACACCAAGCTAGTGGAGAGGAAGCACTAAGATGTAGAAGGAGGGGGAAGTGATGGCGGGGCAGGAGGAGGCAAAAGGAACAGAGGCAAGCTCTAGAAAGCAAACACATAGGAAGATTAACAGAGGTGTGCACTTATGTAAATACATTAATCCATAACAATAGTGGTATTGGCCTATGTACATATATTTATAAAGCAATACACTGAGGCTGCAGACTGGCCTTGGGCCTGGGCTCATACCTTCCCTCAATACAAGAACACTTTTTTCTAAAAAATTGGCATTCTGTGATGCTCACCGCTCCCCCTCCCCACACACACACATGATCACTGAAGACAAAATGGGTGCCTGGCTATTAAAAGATATAGCGTCTGGGGTCTTAAAGGCTTGATGTTAAACAAGCAGCCATCCAACAGTGAAGCAACAAGCCCACATGGAAGAATCATACCAGCAGGTGCGATCATGAGGTGTTATGGAGACTGGGCAACGGTAATCAGAAGATTCACTACAAACAATAAACAAACAAAAAATGCATTGGTGAGAATGGAGGGGGGTTGGAGCAGAGACCCAAAGTCCATCTATGGACAATGGAACATCCCCCCACAGAGGGGTCACAGGGAGGGGATGAGTTAATCAGGGTGCAGTAGAGCATGTCACACAATATTCCTCTGATCCCTTGAGGCCTCCTCACCCCCACCCCCCGCTCCCACATCATGATCCCAGTGCCACCTCCCACTCTGGACTAGAGGAGAGCATGTACATAGGTATAAGCAAGAGACTAAACTCAAAAAAAAAAAAAAAAAGAGACTAAACTCACAACACATGGAACCCATGAACAGGAATGGGAAAAGATAACAAAACGGTAGTAGGAAGGGGGGCAGAGGTGGGGAGGGAGAGAGACACCGATCACAATGAATGGCAAATAACCACACACCCCATCCCGGGGGAAAGAACAACAGAAACCAGAGAGAAGGGAGATAGCGGTTGGTATGTAATTTGAAAATAATTAACAATCTACAATCAAGGGGCCATGAGGGTTTGGGGGGGGGGGGGAATCAGAAGAGCTGATCCCAAGGGCTCAATGGAAAGTAAATGTCTCGAAAAGAACGATGGAATAAAGGTACGAATAAGTCGGATACAATTGATATATGGATGGTAATAAGAGTTGTAAGAGCCCCAATAAAATGATTAAAAAACAACAGTGCTCTAATAAAGGATACACAATTGTTGTGGGAAGACTTTGGAACTGGCCTTTATAGAATTTCACGTGACACTGGTATGCACTGTGGGTTCTCAGAAACCACAAACTGAGAAAGAATTATACATTCCAAAGTTTGACATGGCGTCTGAGTGTTATATAGAGTATTTACATGTCACATGGTTGATATTCCCTGGCAGGTACTGACTACCTAACAGGTCCTGGATTCTCCGGTGTCCATCAATCATCCAGATAACCACAGTGCAGTAACTACTCTAGGAAGGCTTAGGTTTGAGAAACATGACCAGGATGACATCATATATCCAAAAATTCAACATCAGATTCACAAAGTGCTAAATCTTACACTTAACCAAAATTACTCAGGGAAGAACTTGTGGTTGAAAATCATGATTTACTAAGCCATTTCCTTCAAGGAGTGTCTTATTTGAAGCCTTGCAAAGTGGTGGCTTACAGCTATAGAGGACATGCGTTGGTTTTACCATTTCTCCTTCTGTCTTGGTGATAACATCATTCAAGGTCCTAAGGCCAGAACAAGCCGGCCTTCTTCCTAAGGAATATAATCTTGAGTGGAAGGGCACAGGGCAAGCAAATTTTTGGAGTGAATTCTATCAAAGGACCTAAAAGAACCATCCTTGGCTCATTACCTTAATCTCCTGGAGTCCAGCATAACCATTACAGCGCAGGGCTCCTTAGTCTACCACTGGTCAGAGCTCTTCTTTTACCTAACATTTTGCTTCCCAGGAGTTACTGGCAGTTGTTTTTGTTTAAAAACTGCACATTTGAGGAAATGCTTAGAATAAATATCAACATTATGAACTGTGATGGCTTGAGTAACGTCCCTTCCATTTACCTCTGCTTTTAGCAACAGAGGCAGTTGTGGATCATCTCAGACGGTATTTCATTGATCAGCCATAGGTCCTTCTGTGTCCCTACAGAACCTGCTTGTATCACGTGCGAAGTTGCAGCTCCATTGTTTTCGGTAGTTCAGGAGTTAAATGCCCTTGCTCTTTAGTTAAGTATTAAAATAGAGAGATGCATCAGATACTTTATTAATCTTTTTGAAAAAGTCTTTTCCAGGAGCTTTTGCTATTTCAGTATGTTCTCAATGTCCCGTATAGTGGTCAGCCTCGCATATCCCACTGTCATCTGGGGATTTCCTCTCATGTGAACCTATCCTTTTTTTTACCCATGGCTTTGCCCCTTTTATCCTTACCCTTATGGTCTAACTGGATACAGAATTTTAGGTTGAAAATAATTATTTAAACAATTAAAATATTTACATCACAATGATCGACACATAACCACAACCACCCCCCACCCCCACCCCAGATAAACAACAGAAATTTGGGTGAAGGGAGACAGTGGTCAGTGTAAGATATGAAAACAACGATTTATAATTTATCAAGGGCTAATGAGGGTAAGGGGGCAGGGAGGGGAAAAAGAGGAGCTGATATTAAGGGCTCAAAGAGAAAGTAAATGTTTAGAAAATGTCAACGTATGTACAAATATGCTTGCTACAATTGATGTATGGATTGTTATAATAGCTTTAAGAGCCCCCAATAAAATGAACTTAATTTTTTTTTTAACACCTTGCCTTTGAAATGTGAAGATTCTGATTTGTATTCCTTGGTGTCTGACCTGCTCATTTCCTCTGGGAACCAATTCCATCTTTGGCCCTGCTGTAATTCAAATTTAGTGATGTGCTTTGGTATAGACTTATTGTAGTCATGTGTTCTTTCAGTAGGATATGATGTTCTTCAGTTCTGGAACATTTTCTTGAAATAAATATAAATATATATTGCTTTCTGTCCTCTTTGGAATGCTAGGCAATTGGATACTGGGCCTCCTGGTTGTTAATTTTCTTAACTTTTCCTCTTTCTAATTGTCTTTTAGTAGTTATGCGCTGGGTTGCTAACCAGAAAGGTCAGCAGTTCAAAACCACCAGCCACTCTTTGGGAGAAAGATGAGGCTTTCCACTCTTGTGAACAGTTAGTCTTGGAAACTCCTATGACTCATAAGACTGTAACAGGGTCGTTATGAGTCGACATCACCTTGATGGCAGTGAGACTCTCTTCTTTACTTGCTTCAATTATTCAATCATGCTACCACCTGTTCCCTCTAAGAAACCCATGTGAAGTTTGAAGGTTCCTTTTCCACTGTCTTCCTTCACCATTGGGGCATCGTTCTGAGGATGTATTTGTGTTTTCTCTCGTATCTTTACCCTGTAGAGTCTACTTCTTTCCGTTTCTTTTTTCTTTCACGCTAGAGGCATTCTCAGATGTCGTACAACTTAGTTGTTTGCTTCTACTTAAGAGCACAGGAGAGAGACTGACGAAGTTCTGGACACACAAGGTACTGGGCATGCAGATGGTGTCATACTGCAGTCATCTAGCTGGCCATTTAGCCAGGACACTCTGACATCTTTCCATTTGCACACTGGACCATGAAGATATATGACTGCTCGGGTTCCGTCGTTATCTATGTATCTAGCATGTAAATATTCCCTGTTTTGAATATGACTCCCCCACCCAATCATTTGTATGCAGCGTCCTTCCATTCTGGGATCCTGCTTAACATACCAAAAATAAACAGTCACACACACAGTGGAATCACATGTGCATTTTTAAGAAGAAATCCTAAACATTCGCAGTTGTACAACATTTTATTGTTTGCATATTGCATAGAGAAAAGAATAGTCCGGAGACTCAAGGTCTGGCTCATCTACTCACGCACTGTGTGAACTGAGTTCCATCTCTTAACTTTGCTAACCCCCTATTTCCTTATCTGAAAATGGAGATGATGATAATACCTATTGTATAGAACAGCTGACAATTGAAAGATATAGTTTTACGGTTTTTCTCTCAAGAAACTGGTCAGAATAAATCTGAAGATTACTTTTGCTAATCCTGTTTACCATCTCAGAGCTAACTAGATTCAGTAAACCCATACAGCAGGCATGGACACGACTCTTGAATTTTAAACACTAACAAGAGCAAAAGAACCCCCCCCCCAATGGCCTTATCCTTTTTTATTTTCAAACTGTTTTTTTATAATACTTATTTATATTATCCCTTTAGGAATGCAATTTCATATAAAGTCTTTTCCCTTAAGCCTAGTCAATATGAATAACTACATATGTGAAAACCCCATGATTACATGTGTAGTTGCTTTACATTTATTTATCCCCTCTGGCATAGTATAAGTAAAATACATATCATGGACAGTTAAATGCTTTTTTCCTCCTACATTAGGGATGATAATATATATATATGAAGATTAACTTCTTATGTATTATCCCTAATGTAAAAAAATCACAGGTAAATTATACTGCTTGTCAAGTGTACATACATGATAGCCACACCCAGACATACACATCCCCTTCAATAGTTTAGCCATAGTCATTATCTTCTGTATTACTTCCTACAACTATTTGTAGTTGAAAACATGAAACTTCCTTTTAAGGCAATTCTGCACAAACTACAATACAAAATACTCGTTAAACAAAATTGCATGTATGTATTGAACCCCAAACACACTGACTTGAACCCATTGAAGTACTACCCCTAAAAGGTAAACAAACGCTTTATACATTAAAAAATTTTTAAGCTGCGCTGCAACCCTCCTTTCCTAAAAGTTAGATACATTATTCCACTCCAGCAAGATATTAATAAATAAGGATTAAATATTCTATTTTACAAAAACATACAGAATGGCCAATGTAAAAATGAAAGTTTTGTTTGAGAAGTTCTTTATCAAATTATGTTCATTACAAAGGAAAAGGGCATGGTATAAAATGAGAAAACTGTCACAAAACTTCTTTCTCTGAAGATAATCATGAGTTTGTCATTTAAAAATATGGCACCCTTGTTACAAACATTATTACTTTTTTTTAAAAAAAAAGACTGTGTGTTTCCTGGAACTGAATAGAGGACTATTTGTCTACTAGCTTTTATTAAGCAAACCTGATATAACCACCACACAGTGGCAAGAGATAGAATAGCTGTTTCCAGCTATAGAAAATATTGAATTCTATCCTAAAGTACTGATCATTGAGATAACCCATAACAGTTCAAGCAAACCATGGTGCAGTTTGTACAAAATTTCTTTAAAATGCTTTGCTTTCATATGGAATATATTCATTTTCCTTTCACTTGCGATCAGTTTCTGTTGCTTAGTAACTATTTTCATGTCCAGCCAAGATGTAGAGATTGCTGTGTGCAGTAGGATTTTCTGTTGGCCTACTTTCCAAAACGACAACCCTGCAATTAGACCGAAACAAAGGTTTGTTTAAGAGTAAAAACAGAAACGGCATGCTTTAAAACTAACATTAAACCAGGAAAGAACATAATGGTAGTCTTATAAGATTATCTAAGGATCATAGATGTATGACAGTGGAACAATTCCATTATCTTTCAATTTCATTTTCCATGAACTTTTTGAAGCCCCCTATATAGTCAAATTCAGCTTTATATTTTATAGCTTAAAAATACAATTGATTTAAGAATTAGTGCACAGAATCTAACTATTTCAAGACAATTTGATTACCTTAATCTATGTGAAAAAACTACTTGCTCACTCACTTATGCAACAAAAGGTAACATCAATGCTGGAGGAATTTAGAGTACAAGATAAAAGGGCAGAAGACGGGCGGTGGGAACAAAACAGGACTCTATGAGATCCGCACCAAGGTTCTCTTCTTCAAGGTATTTGAGGAAAAAATGAAACATAAGCAAGGGTGGCAGTATATTTAACCACATATTTCTTCTTCTTTTTTTATAAAACCACACAATCTTTCAATTCTTTTCAAATTAACCTAAAACAACCAAACTATTACCTGTCGGATCCTAGTAAGCGAAAAACTCTTGTTTCATCTGAAATCTCTTGGGTGACCTATGAAAGAAAATACATGTCACTAATAGATTATTATATGTTGCTTCCATAATTTAAAAACAATGAAATATTGCAATTATTAAACAGAGTAAATAATTTTATAGACTCAATTCCTCAAATGAAATTAATTTCAGGGAGGTTTTTTTGGACTGCCTAGCAGAAATGAATCAACATTTATGCATTTATGCAACCTCTAGTCTGGGTAAGTGTGGTAATTAAATTGACACATAATCTAGTGTCAATTTGAGGATTAAGAGTCTAGCCTGTCAATCAGGATATAGCCAATGAGACCTCTGTGTGGGAATGGCCTTCTCCTGAGGATTCTGGGAACTCCTGTATTTCCTCTTTGGAGGCAGGAGACTCTCAGCTCACTCCCTGTGAGACATCCCTGTGGAGAAGACACAAGGAGAGAGGCTGATAGAACCAGACCTCTGGAGCCGGAGAAGGCACGTGGAGACCCTACCCAGCACTGCGATCGATGCTTACAATGCCACTGGATCTGTAAGACTTCCCACCCACTGACCTACGATCTTCCTGCACTCGGTGTCATTGCATGCCTTTTGTTGAGTCTGAAGAGGACTTTATAAATTGGTATTGGGCATATGGGCCAAGATCAGATTTATGGACTTGATCTGGACTGGGCTGAGATGTTTTCACAATATTCAACTGCTCTTGTATATAAAGCTTTCTTCTATACACTAGTGTCCATGAATTTGTTTCTCTAGTCAACCCGGACTAACAGTTAGGCATTTTCTTTGGAAGAACTCTTTGGTACATGTCTTATAATCTCCATATTATTGATGGGAAAATGAAGGCTCACTGTCAAGACCTGCTCTTTTATATTAGTGCAGATGTCTGGGGTGCCTGGCGCTGTACTCTTATGTTCCCACTGGTTTGCTTGGGGTAGACATGTAGATTACAGGTATGGGAGACACTAAGGGTACATTGTGGGATCCTCCTACTCTGTTTTCTCAAACTTACATAAAGAAGAACCTAAAGCAAGACAATAAGGATATGCAATAAATACACCCACTCCTTGCTTACAAACCTAGTTAGGTTTCAAAGACCAGGTTGTTAGGTGATCTTGAACAGAATTATGGGAAAATGGAGGATGAGCACATTCGATCACAAAATGGAAGATGGCCACACCAAATTCCATCATTAAGTAATTGCCAAACCACTCTCAATCACTGCCCAGAGTATAACTCTGCTATTCATAGACTTTGTAACTTTAACCAAATGACTGTGTGGGAGCAAGAAAATAAAGTGTATTGGGACTACTGTGAGGGGATTGGCCAATTTTGCCATTCTGCTGGTATAAAGTGAGCCATCTCAGAAGCGGGAGAAAAAATCTCATGATGAGCCAGAAAGCAGCACCAGGAGTGAAGCTCATCCAAGATCCCTGTGAGAGAAAGTGGTGGGACGGAGAGCGAGGGCAGCAGCGGCTCCCAGCCCACACAGTGAGTAAAGCCGAGTGCCTCTGGGTAGGAGGTTAGCTTGCAGAGTGAAGTGCTTATCAGCACTAGGTATTTGTAACACTGCAGTTGGCAGCCTAGTGTGTCACTACTATGCCACTCAGGCTCCTTAAAGAGATGATTAGGGTATATTGGATTTACACCTGCTATTGATGAGCCATAGGTTTCTTCTGCAGAATTATAACTACAGGTGTGACAGGATAAAATGAGCATTTAAGGACAATTTTTAAAAAATCATTTTATTGGGGGCTCGTACAACTCATCACAATCCATCCATCCATCCATCCATCCATCCATCCATTGTGTCAAGCACATTTGTACATTTGTTGCTATCATCATTCTCAAAACATTTGCTTTCTACTTGAGCACTTGGTATCAGCTCATTTTTCCCCTCCCTCCCCGACCCCACCTCTCATGAACCATTGATAATTTATAAATTATTATTATTTTGTCATGTCTTACACTGTCTTATGTCTCCCTTCACCCACTTTTCTGTTATCCATCCCCCAGGGAAGAGGTTTTATGTAGATCCTTGTAATAGGTTCCCCCTTTCCAGCCCATCCCACCCAGTATTGCCACTCTCAGCACTGGTCCTGAAGGGATCATCTGTTCTGGATTCCCTGTGTTTCCAGTTCCTATCTGTACCAGTGTACATCCGCTGGTCTAGCCAGATTTGTAAGGAAGAATTGGGATCATGATAGTGGGGGGCGGGGGTGGGTGGGTGGGGAGCATTTAAGAACTAGAGGAAAGTTGTATGCTTCATCGTTGCTACACTGCACTCTGACTAGCTTGTCTCCTCCCTGCGATCCTTCTGTAAGGGGATGTCCAGTTGCCTACAGATGGGCTTTGGCTCCCCAATCTGCACTTGCTCCCCAATCTGCACTTAAGGACAATTTTATGGTAGTAAGTAGGACAGTAGACTTCCTCCAAGTGCTGAGATCTGATACCATTCAGGTATTTGGGTCAATAACTGGAACTGATATGTGCTAAGACAGCGGCCTCATGTTCTTTTCTCCTGAAAGCATTCTAAATCTGTATCCGTGTACTCTCTCTCACTGCCAGCGAGTAGATTCCGATTCATAGAGACCCCTATAGGACAAGGTACAACTGCCCCTGTGGGTTTCTGAGACTGTAGCTCTTTACAGGAGTACAGAGCCCATCTCGCCCTCCAACTGCTGGTGGTTTTGAATCACTGACACACAGCAGCCCAATGTGGAACCACAACACCAGCAGGACTCCTTGTATTAAAATAATAAGTGGACATACTCATTTAAATATAATTAAGAGTGTCACTAAAACCAAAGGTAGATTTAAACAGAAGATTCTGAACTTTAAAATACATTCACAAATATGTGGTCTACAAGAATCACACAGGTATTCACTTAAATGGAAAATGTCTTAGTATTTTCTTTTTTATTATTAGTAGTAGTATTTCTTCCATATTAAGACTCATCATTTAAGGTTGAGTGATGCTGGAAGTGAAATCCCTCAAACTAAGTACTCTTACTTAACTAGCTGTGCAACTAAGGCAAGTTACGAACCCCTCTCTGTCAGTGAAGATGGGGACAGTGCTAGCTCAAAGGGCTGTTTTGAACCTTAAATGAGCAAATATTTGTAATGTTCCTGGAATACAGTAATTGTTTAAATATTTTATAGCTATATTTCATTCTGCTTTAGTGTTTTAACAGCCTCTTACATGTAGTTCACAAAACCAAACCAAACTCACTGCCACCCAGTTAATTCTGACTTACATGACCCTATGAGACTGCAGACATAAATCTCGATGGAGAAGAAAGCCTCACCTTTCTCCCACGGAATAGCTGGTGGGTTCAAAATACTGACCTTGCTGTTAGTAGCTCCATACATAACCCACCACACCATTTACTGCATATAGTTAGCTCTCAATAAATATTCACTAAACTTTCTTCGATTTCCCCCTAAGGCCTGTAGTCTGATACATACAAAATTAGAATTTTAACTAAAAAGCTCTACATTTTATGTAAAAGGCTATGGAATTCTGAAAAAGAATCACATATTTATGTTCATCAAGATTAGCCATCATGTTTACAAACTACAAATAAAAGGATTAAATTGTATAAACTCATTATTTTACAATTCCTATGGCCATGAGAATTTAGAAGGAAAACAGGACTCTTTTGCTCTATTAGTTCATAAATATGAAGGGGACTCCACACAGAAATGCAGGCTCCGAGAGAAAATACCAAAAGCGAACACTCAGTAGATAGCATGTTGTAGCAGGAATCGATGGAGGGTGGGAAACCTCACCTCATCTGACTTGAAGCTTTTCCCCTGCATTCCATGCTTCCAGAAGGCCAGCACACTGTCCTGAAGGCACACTAAAGGGAAAGGAATAAGTGCAATGAAAAGACAGCACACTCATTAACTATGCATTGCCCTAACTGTTTTAATGCATGTGACATAATGTAAGTTGATTGAAGCAACTGGGCTAAAAATTCCACTCTCTAAACTATTTTGTTCCAACATTTTTGTAACAAAAGTTATGCATAAACTCAAGTAATTTATTAAAGTAGGTTACACAAATTTTCAACGATACTTAAGTAGACATCAGTTAACTTCTGATATGTGGGATATCAGCATTTTAATCATACACTGGGAAAATTTTTTTTTTTACAGGGGTTAGGTGAAATTACAAAGCCATATGCAATTTTAAAAATATTTTAAACATGACTATTTAAAAACTGTCAAAAATTCATAAGTATCCAATAAAGAAAGAATCTTATGCTCACATTTTTTCTAGTATAAAATTAAAAATAACAAAACTGTCCGATAGTTCAAAATTTAATCACATACCAAATACTTATGATTGGTGAGCCAATTTTTACATCAAATCTATAAAAAAATTTAAGAATATTCTGGAAACAATTTAACTCAATAAAAATGGAGTATTTTACAATGACAAATCACTTAAGTTTAACTGCTGTAAACAAAAATACTAGCTATTGGTCATTTTTTAAGAGTTGATTTAAATGGATTTTCAACTTAGAGCAGTGGCTCTCAACCTGTGGGTCACGACCCCTTGGGGGGGTGTCACACAATTCATAACAATAGCAAAATTATAGTGATGAAGTAGCAACGAGAATAATTTTATGGTTGGGGGTCACCACAACAGGAGGAGTTGTATTAAAGGGTTGTGGCATGAGGGAGGTTGAGAACCACTGACTCAGGAGGATCCTTGTGGGTATTTCATGGTTCACTGGCAAAGAGGGCTGGTAGCCTGAGAGAACAAAGTTTTGTGGGGCTATTAAATCAGCCTCCAAGACTCGGGCACATATGAAGAGGTCGTTTACAGTCCAGACGAGCAGGAACAAAGGGCGGCTGCTCTTCCCCGAACATGTCAAATGTCAGTGGGCCTTTTAAACCTCATTACCATACTACATCTAGGCACAGTACTAAATACTAAAGAAGGGGGCTAGTTTCAAAATGTCTTTTAAGTTAGTATCTACAGAAAAATTACGCTTCTGCTTCAATAAATCAGGTTTCCTACTCATAAGCACACAGTTTTTTTAAGATGTTCTACAGAAGCGCGAGCATACATTGCATGTTCAGTTGAGAACAATTAAAACAACTTTGTAAACCTGAGAAACCTGCTTTAGAAAATATATGTATTTAATTGTAAAACCCATACATTTTTCATATACGCAAATAAAAACTGTCATCTTTGTTTTATTTTTTAACAGTTTTATTGGAATGTAATTCATGTATCACACAATTCAATAGTCCAATCACATCAAGAAGAGCTGTACACAATCAGTTTTAGAACATTTTCATTCTTGTGTTTGTCGTTACTAACTCCCCTACAACCTCCTCTGCCAGACCCACAAAGAACCTTTAATCCAGTTACTGTCTCTGTAGATTTACCTATCCTGGATTTCATATACAGAAAAGCACTGAAAAACAAACAAATACTCAAACAACAATAGTAAAGTAAAACAGATAAAAATCTCAATAAAAAAGAAAGCAGAAAATACTAAAAACCAGAAAAAATTTAAACTGGATCAAAAGGGAGTTCAAATGATAAGGTGTTCGATTTTAACATAACTGCTTCTGCAATAATTCACTTTCCAATGCTCTCTGTGTGACAGCAAGACTATTCACACATTCCTGGTCTATGTCAGAAACGGTTCACTGGAGGCTTAATCCACATATATTTCCCCTCCACTTCAGAAAATAAACAAACAAACAAACAAACAAACAAACAAACCCCAAAACTTAAACAACTTTAAATTGGGTCAAAAGGGAGATCAAATGATATTATCTTTTAACTTAGCTATGTCTGCCATAATTGACGTTACAATGTTCTCTGTCTGATAACAAGGCTACTCATACCCCGCAACGATGATCAGAGGGGATTCTCGGGAGGCTTAAGTCATGTGTGGACCCTGCATATGGATTTTGGGCTTCACTGTCATCCAGACTTCTGCAAGCAGGCTGTTCACAATTCAGGTTCTGATACCATTCTCTTTTTCGGATTTGGGTTTTATTATTTACAATCCTTGGCTTACACCAGTTAGTGTGCTTCTTCAATGTGGACTTAGTTGATGCCTCACATTTTAACTATTCTTTTACTTACGGTATATGGTAATTGAAAAAAATGTGCCCAGTCAAGATATATATATGTGTATATATGTACATATACACATATATATATTCATAAGTTCTATAACCCTTGGGGGAAGTAGTTACTGACATATAATCAATGAGTCACAAGCAATGAAAATATGCAGTCTTTTAATCATAACCAATAAATATTATATTGTAAAATACTTATTGACAAGGAAAGATACTAAAATGACATATTAATCTTCAAGATATGTGGGAAGATAGTTATTTCTATGTAAGATGACCTAAAAACAATAACCAAAAACAATAACCATGAGTATCTCTCACACCAACGAATTGGAGTTCACCTAACATTGTTAATCATGCCACACAAATACCTTCATGATTTGGAAAGAGCTTGGAGAAGTATAATTCACTTGATGCAGCAAAGGGAATAATGGGCAAAACTTTAAAAAAAAAGACTTACTTCAAGTTTTAAGTATTCAGGAAATTAAATTTATTAAAAGATTTATTATGGTTTAGGCTTGCATGGATTAACCAGTAGCTACATGCAGTTATTTTTTACAGTTAAAATATTAAAATGTAAATGTAACACTAGCAAATTTTCAAGTACAATTAATGGTGACCATATTGCAGCGTATACTTAAATAACATTTCTATCATAACAGAACTTCTATTAGACAGTGCTGGTCTAGATAAACCTAAATATCAAATAAACATTAGAGCAGGCATTCCAAACTCATTAATAAAAAGTTGAGACTTACCTACAGATTCAATGCGAAAATCGAAACTTAGCTCAGAGGCCAGTTTTTTACTTGATTTCAGTTTTCCTTGTAGATTTACAATTTTTACAAATTCTTTTAAAAGGAACAAAAGAAACATAAAACAAAAAATTAAAATCCAAAATGCAAACCAGCTAAAACAAATGTAACTTGATACATGGGTATCACATGAGTATCAAACAATATTTTAAATAAAGTTTCATTCTTGAGTTAAATATGGTCAATGAAAAGCTGCCATTTATAGGTTTTAAAGGATGTACTATCAAAGTGCTTCTTTTGCTAAATGGCACTGCTATTTAGTGCTATAATTTTTTTCTACTTTTATTTATTCTACTGCTATTAGTCCTTTTTTTAATGTTGTATCTATTGAATATATTCTCATCTTTTTAAAAGTACAATTTTTAAAAATAGGCTAATTTAGTGCTCAAATATTTTGCAATACAGGTTGACTCTATCCTTATAAAATGTACAAATATGGTGAATAATATTTATAGTAATTTGTAACTTTAATTAATATGAGTACTATCCTACAATAGTTTACAAGGAAGAGAAATATTACCCCATGGGTCACAATTTTTCTAGACATACACTTGAGGATAACGAATGTACATAGATCATTCCACTTCCTCTCAGTCCATTTATCTTAGCTCTGACTTGAAGAGGTTTTCTCGTTCGCATTGCTTTCTCCTTTTCTACTACCATGTTTGTGCAGACTCATTTCTATTGTTGCGGACTGAAACCAATTTATAAGCAGTATAGCTAACAACAACTGAAATCAGTTGTTGCCCCCCTGAAAAAACAGAAATCTCAAGAAACAATGTTTCATTTACCTTGAATAACTAGGGGAGAGGTCCATTTACTCAAAGGTTTTGAAATAATTTGTATATATTCTCAAATTTATCTATAATACTCAAATGAAAGCTACACATTACTTTTCCTTGATGATTCAGAAAGTAATAAAAAAGTACTTAAGGATTTAACATAAAAGGTTAAAAAATCTAAATATATTATTTTAAAATCTAAAATATATGACTAATCAGTATTAACTTTCTAGTTATTTATATAAAAGGAGAATTAATCAGTCACACAGTACCATTTCAATCTTATTATTATTCAGAGAATCAAAAGTACCTAAAGAAGAGATACGTATAAAACATTGTGGGTTTTGGTTTACTCATCTGTAATATTACAGGATTTTTGATTTTATAAAATAAGTCTACTAGAGAACCCTTCATAAAATGAGGTATCCAAACATATTACTTTTTAAAAAAAATCAAAGAACTTTTAAAAAAAAAACACAAAAATATCTATTTTTTTTAACATGTCATCCATATAGGTCCATACAATTTTTTGGACAGTTTTATTAGCACACTTTATCCAAATGTCATACAATTCAATAAATCAATCATATCAAGACTAGTACCACAATTATCACCAGTCAATTCTAGAACATTTTGAATCACCAGTCAATTCTAGAACATGTAATTATTATTTTTTAATTGTGGCAAAAATGTCCAAAACAAAACATTTTCCAATTTCACAACTTGGGATTCAAATTGTGTTCCTTTTAAATGTTCTTTGAGTTTGTGAAACAAAACATAGTCTAAAAGGGGAAGATCTGGGCTGGAGGGTGGATGGGGTAAGGTTCTCCATCCCCCCAAGAAAACCCCAGTGTATATACTTGAGTATAAGCTGACCCGAATATCAGCCGACGCACTGAATTTTACCACAAAAGGTGCATAAAAATGTGCTGAAAGACTTGACTTATACACAAGTACATACAGTACCCTAGGACAGCTCTCACTGCCCTCCAAGAGTGAGCACTGTCATATGGGAGGGAAAATGCTCAGTGTAACTTCTGCTTTTTACTTACAATGCAGTTTTCAACTTTCCTAAGACTCTTCATAATAAGATCTTGTGATCATACTGTGTCCTTTGAGAGAATCTATCAAGACTATCCCTTGGGATCCCCCAAACAGTCATCATACCTCTCTGTTCTGACCTCTCTGCCTTGAACTTAACTGGCCCAGGAGATTCTCACTTGGAAGCCATTGTTTTGACTTGCTCTCTGGATCACGTGGTAAGCCCAAGACTCATACCAAGTTACAATGTGCTCCACAAAATAATCTTCAGTACCTTTCGTCTTGTTTATAACACGGATGGAAAGAAGAACATTTCTAGCACTCATCAAGCTAAAAGCTTGCTTTGGCCAAGCAACTCTCTTCAAATTAAAAATGGTAAACCATATGATATCCTCATTCCAGTTGCTACTGTAGCAATGACAATTCTACATTTTTCTTGCACCAGTTTCCATACTTCAGTGACAGTTTCTTCATTTGTCAGGGTTGGTGGTCTTTGCTCTCTTGGCTCATCTTTGAGGCTTTCTCTACCTTTAAATCCACGTTAAATTGCCTTAAATTCATCTGTGGGGCAGCACTCTCATAACTTGCTGTAAAGCTTCCATGATTTGGGAAGATGACCACTTGAATTTTATTTAAAATTTGGTATTAATCCTAACCGCAAAAATCTTGCTGCCGCCATAACATGCAAAAGCCCCATATTTTGGGGAAAGCACTCTAATGAGACTGAGACAAATGAGTTACTGAAAGAACCTGCCTACAGCTATCCACTCATCACAGAGACATGTTTAAGCAGGCTTTTGTTTAGAACAAGCATATTTACAGATGAACTGGAACCCCAGTAGCAAGACTTTTGACTCTTCTTCAAAGACATAGGTATAAAATCAGTATTAGAACGATACAGGAAGTAACCCTGAACACCGATGGGCATGCCTAACAATTAAAAAATAAAATGAAGAGAAGAGAATCAGAGGGCTTTATTGAGAAAACTGAAATGACACCTAGAATACTTGTCATTAAAGCATCTTTTTGCCTCTACTGTTCACAGTATAGCTTTTATTGCTAGTCATAATACCCCTTCTCTCTGTCAAAATAATCAAAACCAGAAACCAAGAGGTACAAGTATCAAATTCATAAGAACATCAGAATTTCATTCTCATGATTTTCTTAAAGCTCATGTTATTTGTAAGGGTAATTTGTAAGTGACCTTAATAGGATAACCTTCTATTCTTCATTAATTTTAATGAAGTATGAGATGATATAATTTTATGCAAACATTTACCCTGAAATTATGGGAAGCCATTCTTTAAAAAAAAAATTAAATTAAATTAATTAAATAAAATTTTAAATCATTTAATTTTATTATATTATTAGGGGCTCATATAACTCTTATCACAATCCATACAAACACCAATTGTGTAAAGCACATTTGTACATTCATTGCCCGAGAAACCATTCCTTTTTTTTTTTAATCATTTTATTAGGGGCTCATACAACTCTTATCACAATCCATACACACATCAATTGTGTAAAGCGCATTTGTACATTCATTG